AGTTAATCGGAGGTACTTCTGCCCTGTGCCCGGGCCCTTCGCTCGTGGCCCCGAGGCACGCCAGGAGCGGCTCTGGGTCTCTCCGCCTGTCTGGTATAACGAGAGCTCCTGTTTTCTGAGCACGTCTCGTGGTTCCCCTGCCCGTGAGCAGCATGCTTTCCCTCACAGGTACCTCGGCACCGCGGTGGGCACTGCTGTGATCTCCTCCGCTCTGCTCAGCGACTACCAGGAGATTAGCACGTCTGTGCGCTACCGCCTGCAGCACCACGTCCAGGTACCCTCAGGAGGGGCTGTGCTTCCCCGCCGCCTTCCCCGCCGGCGGCATCGCGCAGCCTGACCCGGCAGGCTGTGCCCAGCCTTTGCTCCAGGCCCCCAGAGCTCTTGGACTTAGGGGTGTGCCATGCCCAGCTCTCTCACCTTGGCTCCAGTTTCCCAGGGGAGGCGTTTGTCCCATGCTGACAGACCTTGCTGCAGCCTAGTGAGTGAACCGCGTCTGTCTGCATGCAGTACGTGCATGGCTGTGTAATCTCTTCTCCCTCTCTGCCTGCAGGACCTGCCCGATAAGCTGGTGGGGCCCATCTGTGCCTTCTGGAACTTCAGCCTCAGGTGCCTTGTTTCAGTTCGGGTCCCCAGATTTATGAGCTTTTATTTCCACTGCAGAACTAAATATAACACTAAGAGTAGGGATCTGTAATTCTTTGCCTGCTTTGCATGCTGGCATTCTCTATCTGCTGGAATAGAGCTCTCTCCTGGGAAGATTTCCTTTGGAAAAGACAGTCACAAGCAAGTGACCTTTAATGAGATAGATACAACTGAAATGGAAAGCCCTAGTTAATTATGATTGCTCCCTGCAACAAAGAAGAGTTGGTCCATGATATATAGCTCAACAGACATGCAGGACTCCCAGCCTCGTAAATACTGCTTGGCACTGAGATGTGTTTTTGCTGAATGTCACCGCAGTGAGACCACTGGGACTGTGATATATTATGGATTGGTAATTAAGTCATTCAAGTGAAAAAAAAATCTCCTTAGAGTCACAGTCTTGTAACAGGCATGGACCACTTCGGGGAAGGTGGGAAGAGGGTGTTTTTGGAAGCAGCTGGTTGCTGCACAAACAGTTCTACTATCCCCGCTCTGAATTTGCTCTTCCCTTGGTACTGGGGCAGGCTCAGAGGGGCAGTGCTGCCTCGTGAGGACAGAGCTGACCTGGTACAGCCTTGGTCCCTGCACAGGGAATTCGGATCTGGAGCTGCCCGGGCAGCGCAGAGCAGCTGGCTGGCTGGAGACAGGCTGTCTTGTCCTGAAAATCAAGAGTTCAGTGGAACCACACAGGGCACACGGCAGGCCGGGCTGATGCAGAGGCTTAGACATGTCTGGTCCAGTGATGCTCTCGGTGTATGTGCTCTTCCCAGAGCCGTGCAATTACCAGGTTCTGTTTAAAGCAGTGATGGCTGAACTGTGCTTTTTAACGCACACATTGACACTAGACCTGTTTTCTTGTGCACATCTGATGGATAAGGCACATCTGCTGAGGCACAGGGTGAGCCTAGGGGAAGTCCATATGAAGACCTGTCTCCGATACCCTCTTCTTCCTCGTTTCAACTGCTTCTTCTGGGAGAATGAAATTCCCTCAACGACTTGGCTTTCTGTTGAAATGGATGGTAATTTCCATGTGTTTTCTCTTTTTTTTCCTGCATGTTAGCCCAGATGCTGGCGGGATGTGGTCCACAACCGGCTGCTCTGTGGTGACATCTCTCCCGGACTCCACTGCCTGTTTTTGCAACCACACCACGAATTTTGCTGTGCTGCTGCAGGTGTACGAGATGCAGGTAAGCGAGGAGCCTTTTTCTGCTGGTCTGTGGGGTGGATGCCAGAACTGTGAGCAGTCTGTGGTTAATTTGTGAGGGTTTTGTGTCTTCTGTTGTTTCGTGATTGGAGCAGAGGAACACCAAGGAGGAGCTCACGCTGCAGACCTTGACTTTTATTGGCTGTGGAGTTTCCTTCTGTGCCTTGATAGCTACCTTCATTTTATTCTTGGCAGTTGGGTAAGAAAAGTCCAGACACTTGTAGCCTTCTCTGTAATTTTTTGCTTCAGAACAAGTATACAGAGAAGGTCTCCTTTGTCCGTGTGGGGTGATGGAGGTGTGTGGGGAGGGGCTGGGGAGCTGGACTGGTGGTCGGTAGCAGAGGAGAGGGAGGGCAGCCGTTGCCGTTGGCCGGGGAGGGGATGCAGTGCTGGTTGTTTCTGTGGAGATGCTTGTATGAGCTGTGCACACACCTGAGTGCCTGTGGAAAGATGTTTATCAATGACAGCGTTTACCATAAAATCTGCTCTGCTGAAGTTAATTTTTGAGAAATAAATGGAGCAAAGACTATATCTTCAGTTGCAAACCCTTCTGTGTGGCTCGGCAAGCACTGAGATCTGCCTGGTGAGCACAGCAGTGGCTCCCTCCACCTCCTCCTCGCTGCCTGTTCCTTGGAGCAGCGGCCAAGGTCTGAGCAGCTGTACCCCAGCGCTTCCCCCACACCAAGTGCTTGCGCACCAGGGCAGTCCCTGCCTCGTTGGACTGTCGTCTTTGCAAAGAGACTGCAGGTCACCCAGGCAGGTCTGCACGGCCCAGCAAGGACTAGTAAGAACATGTGCACCCTTTCCTCTGGCTGCCGCTGAGGGGTCCCTTTCTTCTTCCTCAGGGTCCCCAAGAGTGAACGAACAACGGTGCACAAGAACCTGATCTTTGCATTGGCTGCAGCGGAAGCTCTGCTCATGTTCAGTGAATTGGCCAAGACCAACCAGGTAAGCTCACTAGAAAGCGTCCTGTTTGGCCAGCAGCACCGGGCCTGCTCAAGCCTTATTGTCAGAACAAGCAGAACAGAAGTGTGATCCCTGCACATTCTGCCGCAAGATTTGCAGATTGCCGTCTTCTTCCTGACCACACACGCTCAGAAGCTCCCAGAGGACTCCCCCTCCTGACACGGCATGTGATTTCTCTTCTCTCCAGGTGGTGTGTTTCACCGTCACCGCCTGCCTTCATCTCTTCTTCATGGCAGCCTTTTCGTGGATGCTGGTAGAGGGGCTTCTCCTGTGGAGCAAAGTGGTAGCAGTCAACATGAGCGAAGACAGGAGAATGAAGTTCTACTATGTGACAGGCTGGGGTATCTACAGACTCCTCCGCCTTGGGCACTCAGAAAAACGTGTCCATTTTTCCTCTAGCAAAAGTTTCAGCAGGGGAGATTCCCCGGTAGCGGTGCTGAGTCACACAAATGTTTGGTTTGATTCAATACGAGAGCCAGATGCCTCTGCTCTGCCGAGGCTTTCTTACCTTTATTTGTCAAATTGCCAGTCTTAGAATGTAAGTTAAAAGCATTTCTGTTATTTTTCTAAAACTAAGAGTTCAATACCAAAAAATGAAAGAGGGAGTTTATGGTAAGATCTTGTTCTTGGGGGGCACTAGTACTGCCCAATAGTAATTAAAATATAGATATATATTTCTATATATTAGACTAAGCACCCTTTGTTCTGAGTGAGCCCTGTAGGGACATAGAATTCATTTGAATAAGCTGAGTTTCATATCAAAGAGGAGCCTCTTTAAGTCAGTGCTCCTTGCAAAACACACACCTAGCTGGACATTGGACAACTGGTTAAAATATTTTGGATTGTTTTATGTCTTTGATTGTCCACTTTGTTAAAAAACCAATCTGAGGAGTAAATTGCTTTGGTCAGGACTCAGGACTTGGAATGCTTTATACCTAGAAGGATGATGCTGACAGCGTATAAATCTGGTCTTGCAGAGCCGGGACAGATTTCAGCTGCAGTAAATTGATGTTGCTCATGGGGCTTCAGAGGCTAAGCTGGCTCATGCTGGAGCGTGTCTGGTCATGGGGGTTTTGAAGCAATTGTCTGGAGTGCAGATGACCTGCATGGGTCATCTCAGCTTTTCTTGGGGCTTAATCTCTGTTCTTTTTCTGCAGGCCTTCCAGTTGTTATCGTGGGTGTGACCCTTGCAACTTCCTTTAACAAGTATGTGGCAGACAACCATTGCTGGCTGAACGTTCAGACCAATGTCATCTGGGCCTTTGTTGGGCCTGTTCTCTTCATCCTGGCTGTAAGTGCCAAAACCTGCCGGGAAGGTGTGATTCCTTCGTGTCTGGTTTTAGGAAAGCATTGCAGAGTCAGGGGTGTCAGCACTTCTCTCGCTAAGGTGCTTGCTCGCAGGGCTCAGAGTGCCTGCGGCATCTGTAGGAGAATTTTTGTTATGCTTTATATATAATTTCACAACACAAATCTCTTTAATCAAAGCAGCTTTTTGATAGAAAAAACGTCCTTTAAGAAAATTATGCTGACTAGTTCTTGTTTTGCCTGTTAAATTAGGAATGTAGATAAATGTGTAGGTTGACGGTGACGTTGCCTTAACTGAAAGTCTGATTAATATGGGAACGTCTACATCCTTAAGTAGGATCAGCATCGTTATCCAACAATGTAGTAGCAGAGAAAGGTGCAATATTTAAGGGGTTTAGAGTAGACACTTAACAGAGAAGACATTCTGCAAGAGAAGTTTTGAGATAAGTTTTATAAATTTGATCCTTGTGTGGATAGCTCTATGACCTATTTTGTTCACTGCTTTCTCAGGAGTGATAGGTTTCTCCCTGAGGTCTGCAACTTGGTTATTGAGCTCCCAGCAGAAAAGACTCACCCACTGGAGCTGAGATTACAGAAGGTTACTGGGTCCAATGGCTCTTCTCTCACAGGTGAACACCTTTGTGCTGCTCCGGGTGGTGATGGTGACTGTGTCCAGTGCTCGCAGGAGATCCAAGATGCTGACGCCCAACAGCAGCCTGGAGAAACAGATCGGAATACAGATATGGTGAGCAGGGAAGGGGCTGGGTTTCCCAGCCATGGCTGCTCTGGGTGTGAAATGGTGGAATTATTGTGAAGCTGAGAGCCTTTGCCTTGGCGAAGTGAAAGTCCATGAGCTGGGGGAGTCGGGGCAGAAAGGATTTTCTCCTCCAGGGTAACCATGCGTCACCCAAAGGTAGTCTGTCTGCTCTAATGTCTGTGCCCCTGAGAAGCCCAGCCAGCACTTTCAGCCTCAGCAAGCTGGTGCTGGACTCCCACATCTGCACTCACACTCCGAAATCTCAACACTCTGGGACAGGAGACCCTTGACAGTGCCCGCTGGAATCAAAGCTACGCTGGGCCCGTTGGCATCACCAGAGGCAGCACTTTGGGCCTGGGAACGGCCGGTGCGAGCGTCCCCATTGTCTGCAGTGGTGATGGTGTGCGTGGGAGCGCAGGTCGCGCTGCCGAGCTGCCTGCCCCTTCGCTAACGTCCGCCCGCCGCGCTGCTCAGCAGCTCGCTGGCAGGCACGCAGATGTCCCGTCAAACATCGCCGTAGGGAAGTGGGGTAGCAGCTCGGGGTGTTTCAAGGAACCCAGGGACACAATTAGGTGCCCAGTTTCCACGGAATTTTATAGAGCTCTGAGCCACAGAAGTGGCTTCTCTCCGCTTCGCAGAACGTTGCAGTTTGAAGGGGTCGTAACTGATTTTATCTCACACCCTAAGTGTCCTTAGCGCTTGTGTGTGCCCCGCAGAAGGATGCCAGCTATAGAGAGTGCCGGGGTTTTGGCTATTTGCCATTATAAAAAACATTTTCTGTATGAGTGCATTGAAAGTACCCTGGTGGGGATTACATACTTGGGGAAAGAGGCGATGTAGTCTTCTGTAATCAGTCAATATAGAGAAACCTCTAAAAAACTGCTGCTTGAGTCATTATTTTATCATCCTCTGTGAATCTTTATTGTTGTTAGCTGGCGCCGGATGCCCCTGCTAGACACGCATTGTTCCCCTGTATCATAAATAAATTTTCCCAAATTTACAGAAGCACAAAGATAGGGCATTGCTGGAGGGCAGGGTGACATCCATATGCTAATAAAACAAATACAGAAGCCCTCTTTGTAGCAGCAATGGGGGGAAAAATAGCTGTTTTCTCATGGCTAATGATGTCAGCGAGCTCCTTTCTTGCTGAGTCTCAGTGATAAAGAGCAGGGCTGGCACGCTGGGGGCTGGGAGGTGAAATGTTTGGTTTTTCCCCTCTTAACTGATTTTGTTTGCAAAGGAATTTGTTCCATAGCTACCATCTTGGGTGCCTCTTGGTGGACGCATTGTCTGAAAGGCGCTTGCTGGGGGAGGAAAGCCGTCTCCAGCGTGGAGGCAAGGAGAGGTTCTTCCGAATCGCCTCGGGGTAGAGGCCAGGTGCTCCTAAACCCGCGGAGCGACTTCCCGGGCAGATGCGCTCACGTCTCTGTAACCTAGCGCAGACGCCCCAGGCCGATCGTGGCGAGACCCTGGGCAGCGTTTGCAGAGCCAGCGAGGCCGTTTGGCAGGCTGGGGCACCCTGGGCCCAGGGACGTGGGGCGCAACAGGGACCCCCAGGGCGAGCTGGCGGCTGGGAGGCGGGTGCCAGCGCGCGGTGTTTCGGCTTTGAAAAGCGCCCGGGTAACGCCGAGCTCTTCCTCCTGACAGGGCCACAGCCAAGCCCGTCCTGGTGCTGCTGCCAGTGCTGGGGCTGACCTGGGTGTGTGGGGTCCTTGTCCACCTCAGCATCGTTTGGGCCTACGTCTTCATCGTGCTGAACTCCCTCCAGGTGAGTCCTGTACCAGCTGGATCCTCACACCACAGCCAAGCAGTTGTCTGCAGCTTCTTGTGCTTCAGCATACTCCACCAGTCCTAAGAGCCAGGGACATTCGTCAGCTCTGAAGCCCAGCCCAGCTTTCCCAAGCCGCTCTGCTGTTTTGTCTGAGGAAACTAAGTTCATGCTGCCAAGATATGAAATACAGCCCTGGAGACCTTGGTCATCTCCTGGCCCTTCACCACCAATCTCTGGAATGTCTTACTGGTGCCACAGCTCTCCAGTTTGAATCTTGTTTCTCACGTTAGGTTTTCTGACATTAGCGTGGTTTCAAAATGACACTTCCAAACTGACACGCTTGCAGGGAGCTTCATTAGAGTTTTGGTTTGGTCATTTAATGGATAATTGAAATGGTAACTGTCCAGTTTAATGGGGCAGACATCCCACCCGCTGTTTGAGCCCCATTCCTACAGGGCGGGCCGTGTGCGCCAGCACCGCTCTCAGAACAGGGCTGTTCGTGGAGAGCGTCTCAAAAGCCACTTCCAGCCATAGCGTGTTTGACTGCTGCGTAGATGGTGTGTGTTCTAGGGTGCTTTTCGTCTGGTTCATGTTCGGACAAACTTAGTTGTGGCCTAAGAACTGCACAGGCAGAACCACCGTCCCTTTGCCGGGATGTCAGCTTTATTGAAGGGAGGCGAGAAGTAGAATTAAGAATCAAGGACTGAAAATCTTTACCCCAAAAATTTGTATTGTCTGCAGCCATGCAGCTGCTCCCCATGGGTGCTCCCAGTGCCCAGTGAGAGCTGCACTGGAATCCGGTGGGATGCAGGAGTGTTAGGTGGCACAGATTGCAACGTGGGCTGGTGATCAGGGCCTCGCACAGGGAGGCTGGAAGGATGTGTGCGGTTTCTGACTCTGATGTGCAAGACCTTGGGTGAGTCATGTCATCTCCTTCAGTCTTTTCATGTCTCTTCAGGTAGCATCTGGCTACGTTTTTAGGGCTGTTTGCTTGTCTCGGTGTCTTCCAGGACCATGGCTGTGACTCCTGAATGCTACAATACTTCAGAGTCACGTTGTTAATGTGTTAGTATTAATAGGGATCTCTATAGGGCAGAAAGTAACCCCGGTGTGTAAAGCAATACTTAATATTTGCTTCTAAATTCACTGGTTTCATCAAAAGAGTTTACAACTGTTTTTAGGGCTGTTTGCTTGTCTCGGTGTCTTCCAGGACCATGGCTGTGACTCCTGAATGCTACAATACTTCAGAGTCACGTTGTTAATGTGTTAGTATTAATAGGGATCTCTATAGGGCAGAAAGTAACCCCGGTGTGTAAAGCAATACTTAATATTTGCTTCTAAATTCACTGGTTTCATCAAAAGAGTTTACAACTTTCCCCAGCCGGTATGTGTTAAGGGAGCAAAGCAAATTGTGTTAGTCACAGCAGGCAGGAGCACTGGGTGCTGCACTGAGGTAGAACAGTTCCCAGGACCTCAGGATATCTGAAAGCCAGGGACACACGGTGACAAGAAGTCCCAGCACGTGTGCTTGCCACCTGCGACGCAAAGCAGCGGCGGAAGCTGTCCAGCCCTCGAGAGGACGCAGCTGCAGATGGAGCTAGAGCAGCACCGAACGCTGCTCCGGGCGCCGCGGGGCAG